ATTAAATCCAAAATCATTTCAGCTGCCATTTAAGAACAAGCCCATGTCATTCCCTTCCTAAGCACAGGAAATTAAGATTCTAGATCATGGTTTACAAAACGTAGATCAAGGGATGCTATTTCTGAAATTACATGGTTAACAAAGCAGATTGTCTTGTTCTTGTTTTCTTTAGATTAATGTGTGTGTGTATATATACCTTTCAGCCCTAATAAACATCTCCATGTTAGTTTATGACAAAAGAACATACCACATTTATTTATGCAACTGTTACGGAAATTATGGGGGGGCACATCTTTAAAGTTAAATGTTACAAATATTATGCCTGAATGTATCCTTTCAACTTGACAGCTCAGGGAAGTTACCTAGCTTTAAAAATAATATAAAATCATCTCCTTTGCCAGTTTCCCCTTGAAAAAGGACTCCAGGAAGTTCCCAGAGGTGACAGTTGGAGGGCTCATTGTTAGCCAAGGGAAGCCAAATCTCATCACCTGACTTGCCTCAGGTTCCAGACATGCAAAGGAAGTTCTATTGTACTTTTGGGTGGTGGGTACTTAAGACATATTTGTCTATGCTAATCTTATACCTGAGTCTTACCCTGCCATGTCTGCCTATGCTAATCTTGTACCAAGGACTTGTGTGGACATGTTTGCCAAGGTTAACACCTCCCCTTTTGTGACATGTCAGTGATGTAGCAATGATGTAGCAATGATGTTGTACGAACTGTATTCTGGGATATGGTGGGAAAGTTTTAAAAGTCTTTGTCACCCCATCCTCAGGGTTCAAATTTCCTCTTTCAACCTATTGCACAATAAACTTTGGTCTACAGCTATTTGCTCTGGTTGGTGGCTGGAATCCTTCCTTTATTCCGCAGGGACCCGTGGGCTCTGCCCAACGAGCTGGGTGACTGAGCAGCCTCACACCTAGAATTTTCCATAACACAACAAAAAATTAAAATGAAGCAGTAAAAACCAAGGGTTGCATCCAGTACTAGTCATCCTCAAAGTAATGAACATTAGTAACTTAGGATCATTAATTTCAATGGGTCTGCAGTGAGTAGAATTTAGCCATGACCACAAAAAGAAAATATAAAAATCTTGAAAGCCAAATGGAATAAAACCGGTGGTAGGACATAAGCTCTACTTTGCTGGATCAGACCGAAGTAAATCTAGTATGCAAAGTCCAGATAGAAACTTCTACGAACTCACAACCAGTACAGAAGTGTTTGCCCTTCTCTCTTTGCCCCAGGTGAAACCATTGGAGTTTGAGCTACACACAGGTCCCACTTTTCAAACGCAATGCATTCCCATTGTGTTGGCATAATGAGCTGATGATTGCCATTATTACCTATGGTAACATTTCCAATCCATTATCTCTCCCCCTTCTTCCACTATGGTTCCTTCCTAAAATGGCTGCAGCTGGCCAGCAGAAGAGAGACACAGGAAAAACTGATTTGTCTGACCTTTCCTGCTCTCTGATTTGTCTGATCTCTCCCCCTGCTCTCTCTCTCCATGGTTTCTGCTGGAAAATCGCTGCCATCAGCCAGCAAAGCACAAACTAGCAAGCAAGTGGGAAAACTTAGTCTGTTTGGATATGATATCAGAATCAGCTGTGCGTGCAGATTGGTTTAGGCATAATTCTTTTGTTCCGATAACTGAATTTGCAATTAACAAGCATTCTGGTAGCAGGACCTGCATGTAGTAATAATGCTGTGTATGTGTTTTATTGTAATTTTGTGTTGATTTTTATTTGTAGTGCTTTTCCAGATTTGAAAGACTTATTTTGTTTTCTTGCTCATTGCACCGCGACTTTCATTAGTGATGCCTTATTTTGACACTTTGCAACGTTCCGTTTTATGTTTCAGGACAGATTGCAAACTGTGTTGAGATTTTGAAATATAAACCCGATTTAAATAAATAGAAGAAAACGGGCCATGATCACTCATTTAAATGTCCTGAATTTTACCATTATTTTTTTTAAAAAAAGAATCAGGTGTTGACTGAATGTAAAAAGTTTGTCTATACTGTTTACAACAAGCTGTAATTGCCCCAATGTGTGAAACAGATTGGATAGTTTTTATCCAAATAACTGTCAATGTTGTTCACAAACTTGGCTCATTTGATCACTTGCAAGTAATGGACTTCCAGTGTAAATGTATCTGCTCTTTATTCATTTATTTTTTAACTTCACACAGCTATGATCCATTTGTATTTAACAAGCAATTACAAGCTCATTCCAAAGAGATGCTTTTTTTCAATTTGCTCTGACCCCACAAAAGATATACTGTAGGAATGAACTAAGGGTTGTATTCATAAGCTCAGCAGGATTTCTTTTACTTTTTTAAAAAGAGCATTTTACTGCTTTGTTTTGGAAATAATTCACATCTTTAATAATAGGATGGCCAGTTCTACTGCAGTTTTCTGCCTTCCTCCCTCTCACTTTTGGTCTTCTGTGATTGCGGTTCTTTTTCTTATAATTAGATCGAGTCAGTTCTCTGCCGAGATAGTGACAGCTTAATGTCATCAGTGTGTAGTTGCCCCAAGAGTCAATTCCCTGAAAACTCTTTTAATTGCTTTGGTAACTTTAGTACATTGTGATTCTCTTGTGTAAAAAAAACCACCACCACATGCTATTGATCAAAGTCTTTCTTGTGCTAAGCACAAAATTTCCAACCTATTGGTGATGATGTATAAATACAATCTTCCTGAGCATTCCTCTGAGTGTCATTACAAAGCTTGTACATCAATCCTCTCTTTCCGTTTCTCACCCAGCTGCGAGGAGAAAAAACTCTTGTGCAACAAAATTTCTGAACTTTCGGCCCTGCTATAGAAGCTCATTAGACCATTGTATTAAGGACACAATCCTACACTTCAGTTATGCCAGCTGGGTACAACAGGATACCCTCCTATGCTCAGAGAATGTGATACAATGTGAGATATTCCCTCACAACTGTGTTGAATGCGCCTGTGCAGTGCTGCAATGGGGTGTCTTCTATGCTGGCATATTCCTGCCAGCACAGCATCTAAAACAGGGTGCAGTTGTCAGGAGAAGAGAACCTGATCATGCCTCCAGCAACATTTTCTAAAATAAATACCTTGAACTATTTTTTTTAAAAAAACCA